AACATACTGCTGTGCCACTTGGGGGGGGGGAGCAAATGTTAAATACCTATGAAAATAACTGTCACATTTATTTATATTTACGTCTTTTCGATGTTTGTCTAAAGTTCCAGCATGACTTCTAAGTCCTTAATGATATCTAACTCTATAATTGAGCATATGTTATGCTTCATATTTCGTTATTGGTGGAAGGTGATACGTCTAGAAAGGTCTAGAGAATGTGTAACTATAAGTGTTAAAAATGTTATAAATGTGTAAGAGATAGAGCTTTTTGACTTTTATATAGTATATTTCTGTGCGCCCCTGCTTCATAGAACCTAAATTCCTGCCAAGGATTAACGAAATTACATTGACTTGAAGAAGATCTCAGTATAGAAGCCGAGATGTTATTCCTTTCTCGCTCAACAGGCAGTTGCAGTTCATTAAATTTCTAAAATTTGGTATATAATAGAAAGTTCACATATGGCTGCATATTTTAGTATGATGTTGTGCCGAGACTTCATTTTCCGGGCAAACAGTTACATAATGTGATGTTTTTGCTTAGGAACCAATATGAGTCATACGTAAAAAACGAATTAAGCTAGAGTGATTGTATTGAGTCTGCTAGTAAGTTAGTAAATCATCAACGTATGACTTAGTCGGTTCACCTGTTGCTATGATCCAGTTAGTCAGTTTTTTAATCTAGTGCCTTAAATATTGAACTTGTGTTTGGAGAAAGAAATAGTGATATGAAATTAGCAAATAACTGGTAAGTAAATGGTCTTAAAAAAAGATTAAAGAAAGAATGTAAATCTTCAACTAAAATTCTATTTACGAAATGACGTTTTGGTCAACTTTTAGATCTAAGTACACGATTTTATATACTGACAAAAAAAAAGAAAAAGTATAAGAACGCATATAATGAAAATACAACAATAGAACGTTGCTGAGCATAGCTATAAATTGATGATGAAAAAAAAAACGTCAATAGGTGAGTAGGAGAATGTTTTGTATGAAAAACACTTATTCTACATTGTGACACCCCAGAGTGGTGGGAAGAGCACAGATAGCTCATTGTGTAGCTCATGCGCGCAGTAAAGGGGAAGGCTTGGGGTGGGGGCTAGAGCTCTTCCCTTAGCTATCATAAACTTATATAATTTGTGCAGAAAATATATATATCTTAGGAAAAGACATATTTATCTCTAGTATGAATTACTTTAAAACAATGAGAAATATAATTGTTTTGTTATTCACTCAGTAACCATTTTAATAGACACGGAGGGCATTTAAAGCTTTGTTTCAATATTTAAACTGAGTACTCTTTGCATAGTGCATAAATCTAACCTATGCGTGTAAAGAATAATATTGGCGTAAGTAATGACTTCTTACTTTGTATGTTGTCATAGTTATAATCGTCTAGCTCAATTAATTGTTATTGTTTTTAGGAGCCCCCCCCCCTCCCCCAGTGGCACAGCGGAATGTCTGCGAACTCACAACGCTAGAAACAATTTTTATGTTGGTCGAGTTTAACTATTAATTCAACCCAGAGGAATATGGAGTGATACATCAGGCCAAATTCAAGGATCGGAAGAGGAGCAACCTACAAGAGTCTGGTCATTTATACAGATCATCTGCACTATCTGCAAGGTAAAGCATACCCTAAAATAGCTTCAGCAGGTCATACTTATGGATAACTTCATCAAGAGACTTCCCTACGAGACGATTAGGCACCACCTGAGTGTGAGGGACATCCTAATGAATTTTCAGGAAGTTTTTGTTACAACTGAGTATGTAGTGTTAACTTCGAGGTAGCCACTGGAGAGAAAGAAGACTGGGGTGAAAACTAATGTGGCTACATCTTGGATCGACTGCCCTACTCTGGTACCTCCACCACACCAAGCTTGAACAATGCTAAGGTTAACCAACTATCTATACATCCATGAGCTGTAATTCAACCGTATTTGCTTCTAGTAAATGGGCAGAGCTATCCTGGACTTTATTTGGTTCTTGCTTTGCTTATAGTATGTCATGGCACTGGTGACTTGACTATTCGTACATTGCTAAACAGCAAAGTAGGCAAGACAATTACTTTCAACTGATGGCTTAACAGGTTCAGAGGAATGAACAGCAAATAGTATATATTGCAGCTTCAGCTCCAGAAAACGAATGTAGCTGAAAGTTCTGGCCACGTACTTGAGGGAGCATGGCAGACAGCTTGCACCAAAGGGCTTGGAAGTCATTTCAGCTCTTTCAGGACATGGTGGAGCTTCATAATACCTGAGAGAATACAAGTATAAGAGGTTGAGCTCTTGGTTGATACACATCTTGCAATAAATCAAGTTCTCCAAATGAGACCATCATTCTGGCCAATGAGTAATAACTTCGTTTTGACAATGATAATAGACTAAAGGTAGGTAGGAAGGCAAATCTCTGGTCGTGTCTAAGAAATGTCGCTCATAGAATTAATGTAGTCGTCTCCATCCTCGGATCTGATATTGGAATGCTTTGGATGGACATAATGTAGAAATTATTCAGCAGTTTCCTTTGTGCAACTGGTGAGGTGATGTTCCACGAGGAATTATACTTTGTTGCCCAAATTAAGTTCAGAAACAGTGGAGTGTATGTAGTGGAGGGAATAACAGTACCTCCAAATACATAATTGATGTTTCATGATTTATTAATGACAAATAATCATGATTTACTACAAGCAACGTGTCACTATCGTGTAACAATATTATAGAAGCCACACATGAAATTAACTGTTTCCTGTCCAGAAAGAAGGAGGCATTAGCTCAGGCACTTACCTGTCTGAGGAGGGACGACTTCCCAGTGCTGTTTTGTAAATATGAGCAATCAGCTGTCCGTAGATGTGGTAAGCAAAATTAAAGTAGCCGAGGCTAGAAAGGATGCTATGGCTGCATCTGTTACACTGCTGTCAAAAGCAAACATGCAGCTACTAACACATCTGAGAAAGTTGATTGAGGACTGTGCAAGTAAGCTAGACTCAACACGTGTTGGTTAAATATGCTGATGTATTTGTGAGATCAGATGGCTGACTAGATCCAACAACTGTGACTTGCCACAATATAGATACAGGCAACACATATCCAATAAAGCATGTGCTGTGTCTGCTTTCAAGGACCACTAGAGGCAGAGCCAAACAATGAAATACAGCAGGAGTTGAAGGATGGGGTCATACAACTTTCAAAGAGTGCTTGGTCGTATCCCGTAGAGTTTCAGAAAGAAGGAAGGTGTACATACCAAGATTTTGTGTTAATTTTAGACGGGTGAATGTGGTAACTCGCATCAACGCCTTTCCCTTACCACAAACAAATACTTCAGATCTGGCAAGTAAAACTGGATAATGAGAAGAAACCTAAGACTACTTTTAATATAAAGATGACTTCTTGGAGTTTTACATCATGTCATTTGGCTTGTGTAATGCACCAACCGATTTTGAAAAGCTAAAGGAGCTTACATAAAATGTGAGAGATGTATGACCTACATCAGTATGAACAGAAAATACTTCTTCCTGGTGAAGTGATGTGTGATATTTCCTCACAAGCGGGTATTTCACAATATACACAGGAACACACAGAGTGGTTAAAGTCTGTATTAATAGATTTGAACGAGTTTGTCCATCAAGAACTTGGAAAACTACTTAATGACAGGAGAAATGTTATGAGAAGATTGTAAAAGAATAAACTGTAGAGAATGGGCCTGATTGTGCTTGCAGCACAGAAATTGTTTGGATCCATCTGGATAGGTCCATATCTCGTTAACTAACATCTCTATATGTTAAATGAATCTCTCATGTACTGGCTTGACCAGGAGTCTGAGGTTGAGATTAATGAGACTTAGTGTCATAATTTGTCAAAACATTTCATCTATATGGAGAATATTTTGCCTTGTTGGTTTCCTTGGGATCTCACTTTATGATATTAATAATGTTGCGTCAGCGAGTCACGTGACTACTATGACGCAACGTTTCTAGAACTATCATGTACTTTGTCGAATGTTCAAGTTCTTACTAGATATAGGGTAGGCTGGTATATAAAAGAGGGGAAGGTAATGTGTGGTGTAGATAGTGAGTAATTGAACTGCAGTCACACGGTATTGTTGAAGTTAACGTTCGTTCGTTACAGTGTTGTTTTAGCGCGAGTATTGAGATTAAGTGTATCGCAGAGTTATATTCGGAAAGAATAAACCAGTTTTATTAAGTAAAGATTTGTGTCGTTAAAGTTTCGTTGGAACGAAGTTACGGAAAAATCAATTAACAAACGGAGACGTAACAATAATTTAGGGAAAATCTTTTAACGAAGCTGTCCCAACGAAATATGTAGCATGTAAAAGAATTAACTATAATTGATGATTTGTAACATTTGCTATCGTAAAGCATATATACTGCATTATTAAAAAACATTATATATTGTTACGACATCGGAAGTCACGCGACGCTGGGAGCATGCGCGCTGGAGTTTCTAGAAGAATCGTGACTTAGCGAGCAACATCACGAATGTCCCAGCGTTTGTTAGACGCCCTCTTTTTTAGTATCAAAGCCGGAGATAGATAGAAGAGATATAATCGAGTCAAGCGAGCAGTAGGTAACGTAAGTAACGTGTGTGAATCGCTGTGAATTATAGCGTGTGTTTATGAAAGTAGTTAAGTTTAAAGTGACTGTGAAAATTAAGTGTATTTCAAAGTTTGTAACGAAAAAGATTGTTTGTTTGTTTGAAGTTAAGCACAAAGCTACACAATGGGCTATCTGTGCTCTGCCCACCACGAGTATCGAAACCCGGATTCTAGCGTTCTAAGTCCGCAGACATACCGCTGTGCCACTGGGGGGCAACGAAAAAGAATAAATTAGTTTAATTAAAAAGAGGACTTGTATCGCTGAAGTTCCTCGGAAAGAATTTATATCGGAAATTAAGAAACGAACAGATACGCAACAATATGTATATATTCAAAAAAAAAAGCTAATTTTCATTGTCTACACCATTCTTGTCAATAGCCACTTCGTTTGTTGTGAGCGTAGATACTATGGCTGTGAACAATCTGGATCCGTAATAACAGCAGTAAAACCGAATAGGGGGTTAAACGCATTTACGCGCGAGATAGCGCTTACACAAGTTATAGTTTAATTGAAATTGTGATTTTGTTCTAAAGCAAATTGACAAAATCGTAAGTTTCTGTGAGGAAAACTATTATTATTAAGTTGTTACAACTTACACTTTGACTTATGTTGCTATAAGTATAAATGCATTACATTTTTTGTTAAAAATACTACTTGTTGAATACTGTCAGTGTCAATAGTACTTAATATTACTATAACATTATTATTTTAATATTAGTAATGCTGTTATTATTTAGTATTAATACAACGTTATTTATATTATTAACACTAACAGTTATTAATGGTGAGGGCACTGAATACAGTGAAGTGTATAGCTTTAATTATGATATTATTATATAAAATGAAATGAACATTCTGTCAAGTTATTATTCTGTGAAATTATGAAAAGATATAATATTAATAACCTTGGTAATTTTATATATTAAATCATATATACTAATACAGTAAATATTTCAGCATCACACAGGAAGTGTATTTTGACTACTGCTTCATTAATTCTATGTAATATGATAAAATAATGAAACCTCAATTTATTTATTGTTTGAACAAAAAACTACATTTCTTTCATGCTTGTATGTTTGGCACTATAAATCAGTTTGTTTTGGCCCTTGTTCTATTATCTTTTCTGATTTCATCTATGCAAAAATCAAACATTAACAACAGTGAACATTTATTCCTTAAATCTAATGTCAAAAAGAAAGATTCATTCTTCAGTAGGTAGAGTTCAAAGAGAAGACAAATTTTGCTTTTGACAGTTAACTACCAACTTGTTTAGACTCAGACATTATACTTCTTAAAAGTTAATCAAATTACAAAAATGGCAGAATTGAAAGTTATCATACAGAAGTATACAATATATATGTATATATATATATATATATTGTAACAGAGTAGATTTCTTGATGTGTTGAGTCTGTGTGATGATGCCTTTGAAGTGACTGTTTCGTTTTGAAGGTCAGTTAAGCTGCTTAAATGGTAAATCAAACCATCTGGGTATTTTCTTAGCTAAATAGTTAGCATAGAGCAAGTGTTTCTTAGCTAAATAGTTAGCATAGAGCAAGTGTTTCTTAGCTAAATAGTTAGCATAGAGCAAATGTTTCTTAGCTAAATAGTTAGCATAGAGCAAGTGTTTCGTAGCTAAATAGTTAGCATAGAGCAAGTGTTTCGTAGCTCTGATTTGGGCAGTGGAACAATTTGTTTTTCATATCTTGGGTTTCACATAAAATAATTTATGTCTTCTGTGTTCAACAGTGTGCTGCTGCTCCTAGTGAACTCTAACTGCTAGGCTTTAGAAAAGAGAAGTTTGGAAACCTTAGTCTAGATTTTTACATGTGTGATTATGATGCCAATGACAAAACAAAGTTGGCAGTGTGTGTGTGTGTACATTGTTGCAGACTTGGGTGCTGTGTCCTTATATTGCAAGTAGCAATCTTTAACTTGTTTGGTTGTTTTATAAGCTTGAGGGTAAGCCTTGGTTGAGTAGAAGAGGATAGCATAACTATTACATTAAGAGCTATTTGGTTCTTGAATCTTGGTAAATCAGTCTTTAGAGCATTGGCTTCAAAACACTAGTGTGAGTCAAGTGTTCTGGGTTTAAGTCCTGTATTTTTCAAATCTTAAACTTCTGTCCTCTCAACCTATCATTTTTACAATATAGCGCAAAGAAATCAGTGGGGTTTATTCTGTCAAATTCCTCCCTCGATAATCATGTAATCTTCAGTAAGATCATCTCTTACTCTTCTTTTCTCAAGAAAAAATAAGTTAGAGATCTTAAACAAACCCTGTAAGATAATCCATCCATGCTTGGAATTATCTTAATAGCCCTCTTCTGAACCCTTTCCAGTCAGTCAGAATATTTTTTTAGATAAGGACACCAAAAACTGTGCAAAGTATTTCAGTTGAGACATTACCTATTTTATCTTGAGGAAATAATAATGAAAGGTGAGCTTATTGAAATGTACAATATTATTTTTAGGATTGATAAGATAAAGGACTGAATATAATAAGACAAAAAAAATACATGTTTGAAAATACTGGACAAGTTCTAATTAAAATGGTTTTATTTTTGTTAATAGGACAATGCAATGAGTTGCTATAAGCAGTAATGGAGGCTGGCACCTTATTAGAGTTTAAAAGGAACATTGATAGTTTCCTGAAAAATAAAGGATCCATTTACTTTTCCTTGAAAGTTGGTGTGAAGGGACATTCTTTAAAGACCAAATGGCCCCTTATTCTTCTGATGTTATATAATAATTGTTTGAATTTTATTTGATTTTTTTTTTCAGGTGTGTATGTTATCAAATACATTTGTATGAAAGATGTACAGTTTCTTTTTTTCTTCCAAGTTAAAATTGAAGAGTAAACTTTCATAAGTTAATTATAATAGTATTCTAGCATATATATCACTTTTATTTCTTGACTAATACATTAAAAAAAATGCACATATTACATTCAGGCATCAAATGTTACTGTTGGGTCTCAATTTGAAACGTTGTGATACTAGTTGAATCAACACATTTATGTTCACCAAGACGTGTTTGTCCCATTCTTATGTTTTAAGTTTATTTTATGCAAGTCAATAGTATAACATAAAATTTTAATTATTATTATAAGTTTCCATTATACAAAAGTTTCATTTTGCTAGTTCACCATTTGGATCATATTTAGGCTTTAAGGATTAGATAGCAGAGATACATTTGGATATTTCTTTAGGAAAGGTTTAAGAGACAGATGTTCTTTTCTTGTAATGGATTTGCTCCACCTACACTAAGCAGGTTTTAGAAAAGAATTTCAACTTAATTTAATTTTTTGATAGGGTCTTTGCATTTAAAATCTCTAAGCTCAAAATATCAAATTTGAATAAGACTTTCATATCTATATCATGATATTGTTGCACAACGTGATGGAAGGCATGTGTGTAATTGAAATGAGTATTGTTGAAGTCGAGCACGTGAGACGTTCATTGAGAATTAT